CCAAATCTTCTTTGCCGAAGTTTCATTCATCACATCATATTTTAGATCTTGGGTAAGGCAAGACCTAATCACACCACACGCCGTTCTATTCATTTTATTCCAAACCTTTTCATCCACGTTGTTCGGTTTCCCGTCCAACTCCAACATATCTTTCAGATTTTGCGCATTTAGCGCATCCATGACTTCACATCGTCAAAGTCCAAAATTATTTGTACCGTTAAACTTTTCCACATCTATTTTCATAGAATGTATATTCAAACTTTGGACGACCTTCACACTAGAAGAACCCTCCCCACTTTTATCTTTTTCGGCCATATATCTCAAAGCACCCAAACTATTGCGGAACAAATAGGAAATGGATCCAACTTGAAAAAGATAGAAACTTTACCACAAAGATCCAATCTTTATCACCAATCGAAGCTCTAGATGAACTTTCCAACTGATCTATACCTCCAAAAAGCCCAAGCGTTGCCCGGAGCTCTGATGCCAATTGTTGGGGAGAAACCCCTATGCCGAGATCCAACCAAATAGCCGAAAAAGATAAACCACACAACCAAAAGATAGCACAAACAATCAAACACCAGATTTTACGTGGTTCAACGAGATGCCTACGTCCACGGGGCAAGGAAGGGGGAGTTTTCACTATTAGAAATCAAGAAGAACAAACTAGGGTTACAAATCTCTCATAAACCCTCAACAAATCAACTCTCAATCTCTCCAATTGCTCCTAGAATAGAAGCCCAAAGAAAACTCCTTTCAACAGCTCAAAACACTTGCCTTTCAAACCCTAGAATCGAGTTTGGGTATTTATAGAAAACCCAAACGAAACGGGTCTGGAAAACAGACCCAGCCCAAACCGCTTCGGCGGTCTACCGCGGCGGTCGACCGCCCTCAATCCAGAACAGCCCTAATGGTCCAGAGACTTCTGCGGTCGACCGCGGCAGTCGACCGCCCACAGAATAGAAACTTCTGCGGTCGACCTCCACCAATCCTGACGCCCAGTAAGTCTCGTGCACGAATGCGGTCGACCGCCAATCTGTCTGCCTAAATCCTGCCATTTCTACATTAACAAAGGGTGTAACCGGATTTGAGGATATTGTGAGAGAGAGGGTTTCACAATCTTTGTCCTTGCAAAAGATTGTAATTTGGTGGTGATAGTGAATTATTTTCAATCCCGTGGTTTTTCTCTATTAATGGTATTCCATGTTAAATCTTGTGTGTGATTTTATTTGCTGTGTTTGGTGGTTTTCGAGGTTTTTGGGAGATTTAAAATCCCAACAGTTTAGTGGTAATATTATTTTACAAGCACATGAATAATGTTGAATCTAATGATAGTAACTCTCCGGTCAAATATTCCAGATACTGTTTTAATCAAATCACATGTAATTGCAGTATTTAAAAAAAATCATGTCCAAACAAGAAATTTTTGGTTTAGTTTAAGATTTTATTTGGTTTGAGCCCCATTCGGATGAATTCGATTTTTGTCTTGCAGTACGCCATCATATACATGGAAGTCTCCCTTTTTTCCCTTCGTTCATTGGCAATATGGTTTCCATTTTCTAGACATGCCTTTTTACCTAAAACAAATTGTTCTAGAAATTCAAGCCCTCAGCAAGCTCTTTGGAAACGAAATGGCAGCTTAGATATGCTGCATGATTCATCATTATCACCTAGGAAAATCATTTAATTTTTCTGATTCAGATTCTTAAGTGTATCAGGTGCTTGAATACTGCAAAATAGAGCTGGACACCTTATCCATCGATTCAATCTCACGGTATTAACTCCACTATGATAAGTAATGATTCAAGTATGTTTGTGAATGTCTTCTATTGTGTAATTGAGCAAGTAATGTGTATATCAGTTTCAATATATGATTTATTTACATATACTATATAGCCTGAATATCATATTTATCCTTTGATATGCAATACACAGTTCATCTTTGCTGACTTCTAGATGATACAATTGAGGGAAGTCGTAGTAAATCAAAAGGTGATAAGCAATCAAATAGATTATTGACACTGTTGTTTTTGAACTACACATTTATCTGGAGCAATGAAGGTACTAATACAAACACTTGAACAATTCTTATGCTTTCTGGATGTTAATGCAAATAGATGATGGTTATCCGTACCATTTATCTTATATCTATATGAGCTTTTAATGTGGGAAATGACACTGGAAGTTGTTCTATCACATGATCATCACTTTCTGCATGATCTTATTCTATTACCTGCATTCATACGTCCATGCATAAAACAGAAATGAAAATATACACAAAAGAATGTAACAGGGAAGGCACATGAGAGCCACACCTCTAATATGATGACACATCTAGAATTAAATGTGCCATAAGGTCCACTTTTTTGCAAACTATTTTTTTCTCTGTGCCAACTGGTTAAAATTTCTCACCCAACTTATATCATGAAATACTCAAAAATTTCCAAGACTTTCTCAGTTGTTCTTCATGCATTACATATAGACGTGTTTCAACTTAGCTTTTGTAAATATTTCCATACATGAAGGCGCAACTTGAGGATCTTGCTTCCTTCATGCTTCAAACCATGATATTAATGTCTATGATGTTCAAAATTAATAAGCTAGGATAAAGTAAACATCTATGGTTGAAAATCTCACATAATATTATCTGAGTATGTGCAGGTATTGCCTTTGATGAAGAGACTTGCTTTTGACATCACTTGCTCTCTCTTGTTCGGTATCAAACATGGTCCCCTTCGAGAGGAGCTAGCAAAGGACTTTGCCAAAATGATTAAGGGGATGTGGGCAGTTCCAGTGAACCTGCCCTACACAAATTTCAATAGGAGCCTCAAAGCAAGCAACACTGTTCGAAAGGTTCTTGCTAGAATTGTACAAGAGAGAAAGGCTGCGGTAGGGCAAGGAAAGAGCTCGTCGAAAGAAGACCTCATCACATATTTGATTGGCATGGAATTAAGTGATGAAGAGGTAGTAGACAATGCAGTGCTCGTCATGATTGCTGGACACGATACATCCGCCCTCCTTCTTACGTTCATTATTCGCCATCTCGCAAATGATCCTACAACTCGTGCTCGAGTGGTTCAAGGTAACTCCTAAAGTTTCTTTCAATGCTCGAGTGGTTCAAGGTAACTCCTAAAGTTTCTTTCAAAACTTTGACGTGTCCATATATACTTTGAGCACTTTTTTCGGGGTTAATTGCAGATAAACTCCTGTACTATTGCCAAAATGAACTTACTACCCATGCACTTCTATTGTTGCAGATAGACCCCCTGAGTGTAAATTTTTTTGGGCCTCTATGGGGGATCTATATGCAACGATAAATTTTCACTCAGGAAGTTTATCTGCAACAATAGAACTTTGTCAGGGGGTGCATCTGCAGCAAAAGAACTACAGTAGTAGTACAATTTGGTGATAGTATAGACAGTCTATCCACAATTATCTTCATGGAAAATATGAAGACTGTTTTACACAATGGTAAATTTTTTTTCTAAAATCTGCTTAAATATGTGATGATATTTGAACCTGGATTTCTCTGACACCATATAATGTCCCTTCAACCGCACTAAAACTTCAAAGTTATGGTGAGCAAGGGTTGTAATTTAATTCCTTAACAATAACAACTTTTAACTCTACTAAATGCTAGTAAGTACAAGATACTTTTGTTACACATTCATCAATCTTTTGATTTGGGACTTGGAGCAAGAAGAGGTAGCCAATAGCAAGGCCCCAGGAGAGACTCTGACATGGGATGATCTATCAAGAATGAAGTATACATGGCGTGTCGCAATGGAGGTACTAAGAACCATTCCACCTGTTTTTGGGAGCTTCAGGAAAACACTCAAAGATGTCGAATTCAATGGATATATCATACCAAAAGGGTGGCAAGTAAGACCAAATTGAGTACGCAAAAATATTCCTTTTAACTGATATAGATCCTAATTCTGTCCTGGAAACTTCCAGGTGTTTTGGGCAGCAAGTATTACGCAAATGGATCCGAAATTTTTCCCTGAGCCAGAGAAGTTCGATCCAAACCGTTTTGAGAATGTGAAGTCTATACCACCTTATTGTTTTTTGGCCTTTGGAGGAGGATCCAGAATTTGTCCAGGGAATGATTTTGCAAGGATTGAGACAATGGTTATGATGCATCATTTGGTTACTAAATTTGAATGGAAATTGTGTTGCGAGGTTGATACTTTTAGCAGAGATCCTATGCCATCACCTCGTGAGGGATTGCCCATCGAACTTTGGAGGAAATATAAAAATTGTTCCAAAGATAAATCGATGTGATATTGTCGTCAATATTACCCATTATATCTGTCTCGGTTTGGAGAAATATGAGTATGTTTAGATAGCAGTAGTTGGAAATCCATGCTGTTCGAGTTAAGCACAGTCCAGGATGTAAAGGCTCGTTTTCGAGCTTGGTTCATCAAAATGCTATATATGGCGGTGAGTCTTGGATCTTGGTTCGTATTATCTTATTTGGGTTTTTAATTAGTCGTTAGTCCAAGCGAACCGCACCCCGTGGGCCGTTAGGATTTGGAGCCTTGGACTTATAGATATAACTTTTATGTCGCACTTTCTTATTCCTAATGTAGCTTACTTACATATACATATTTTAGAAGTTATTTATAATTTCATAAAGAAAATTTTATATATATTTATATATGAGTTTATTTGCAAGAAAGTTCAATGCAGACTGCAGTATATAGTACGAATTACTACTCATTCTAAAATATTTTTGAAGTTCGATTGTTCAATAATACAAGAGATAACGCTTATATAAGATTATTTGCAAAATATCTTGCATATTTGACTGGATTATGCATGAGAGATGGACAAGCTCCATAATCAATTAGTGTTAACCTTGGGCTAAGTCAGCTCGATTGACTACCTAGATGAGCTAAGCTAGACAATCCTTAAGCTCGATAAATAACTGCAAAATTATGAAGAATTTAAATCTCTTCTGATTTAACTCCTATCTGTAACTCTAATATATATTTTTATGTGAGGTCAGATCAAATATATATTATTATGTAAATATATAGGAAAATCTAACATAAAATTTTCCTTATCAATGATAAATATATAGGAAAATCTAACATAAAATTTTCCTTATCAATGATAAGAGTTTATCCAATGATCACAGGGAATATTCCACTTATGACAAGCAATGAAACTTGAACACGGGCCTCCACAGCATTCTTTAATGTGGTTGGTCCGAACTTGATTAGTAGTGAAAAGTCTTGTTTGAAGAAAAGAGAAGATGAGGAGCTAAAAGCGAACAATTCCAAATGGTATTCCGTAATTGACACTCAACGATTACTTTGCTTGTGCATTCATTGCCCCACGTCATACAATCACTTTCTCCAAACAAGTTGGAGAGATAATATCATCTGAAGATCTAAATTGGAGTTCTATTCTTTTAAATTATTGCTAGAGGTAATAGACTTTACAAAGTTTTAACATGGCTTAATATTTGATTGTATTAAAAATTGCTGTTGAAATTAGAGAAATTGGGATATTTTAATCAGCGGCGTTCATAGTGTTCCGTGGTGTCACATGATACTATTTGCTTCCCTAATTTATAGACATTTTTATTTACTTTTACATGCATTTACTATGTTTAGTGCACGACTAGAATAAGGGCATACCACTACTAGGGAACATGGTTCTAAGAATTGCTCACAACATTGTACTCATAAGTTATATGAAGACTCTGAAGATTCTCAATTACTAGAGGCAGATGGGTCCCTTTCTTCATAATTAACTAAAAACACCACGTGATCTTATTGCCATGTTGGTCAAGTTCATATGTATAACCTTCTTCGTGATGTACTATATGGTAAACGTATGTCTTTGAAGAACTATAGTTCCTGATCTAAACTTAATAATAATAATAATACTTTATTCACAAATTTCTGTCGACAACGACACATTATAATGTTTGTCTGGAATTGTTAAAAAGAACTGTGAGTTACTGAGTTTGATTAACCAAAACCATTAACTCGTGTTACTAAACTGTATTAGCCAAAACCCATAGTTTATGTTACTAAATTGTATCTTTCGTTTTAATTCTGAAATTGTTTTTGTAACTTATACTTTTCAATAAATCGGATGTTATAATATTACGGAAAAAAAGTAAATAACTTCTCTTCTACCTTCCTCCTTTTCTGAAAATTCATTACTCTATATAGGATGTTAAGATTCAAATACTCCATGGCAGAAAATTTTCTAACTAAGTGTGTTTGGCAATTTATTAAAATTGAGTCAAAACTAAACCTGGACCAGTTTTGAGTTAGTTTTCTATTTGACAAAGAACTAGGCTAATAATTCCGTCCTAGTTTTTTACGACCAAATAGTGATCACCACTAAACTAATTTTAGTTTGAATTGTCTTTTTACTTATCCTCATCTAGTTTTGTGTAACTTGATAAATCAAGTTTTCCTCTCTTTTCTTTCACCTAAAACAATTAAAAAGAAAAAAAAGATAAAGTATCAAACACGTGATCATAGTACTTCTTTAGAAAAGGGGCAGACCATATAGGGTGGCACTAGGGGCACACCCCCAACCACATCCCAAACCACACCCCCTCTCTCATATGCTACAGTGTACCGGGCCCCACATGAGATTTTAAAATTTTAAAATCCCATGTGAGGCCCAGTGCACTGTAACATATGAGAGGGGGTGTGGTTTGGGATGTGGTTGAGGGTGTGCCCCTATTATTTTTCGACCATATATTAAGTTAGGCCTGTCCATCCGGGCCGGCCCGGAAATCCGGGTCGGGCCGGGACCCGGGTACACCGGGCCGGGTCCGGGCCCGGTCCCGGGCCCGACCGGGGCGGGTTCCGGGCTGGCCCGGTTGATTTTCTTTTCTTTTTTTTCCCCAAAATTTTTTAATTTTATTTAAATTTTAAATTATAAAAAAAATAAAAAAAATAAAAACAATAATTTTATTAATTACTTAAAATAACATAAATTACAAATAAAAAATAATAAAAACAAATTCTTTATTAATAATTGATAAATCAGTTACAAATTACAAGTACAAATTTATTTTGAAATTAATCGCATCACAATAGATAAGTAAATCCCAACTAGGTTGGCACCTACTCACCTATATCACTATCATTTGTAATTATTTCCAAAATAATTCTTTACAAATTTTAAGCTAAGATATAAAAACTACAATCTATTCTTTATATCTATCTGCTAGTCCCAATTCTTTAAATTTATTTTTAATTCCAGCCATCCGATCGATGCCTTGCGTTCGCTTCTCGTACCTCCACCAATATTGTAAGCATATCACCGCTTGTACAATATACGGATCCAAGCATGTCCTGTGATCGTCGATCAAACGACCTGCTGTGCTGAAGGCGGATTCCGAAGCTACCGTCGAAACCTGCACTGTTAGTAAGTCACGAACCATGATGGAAAGTATAAGATATGAAACTGATCCATATACTTTCCACCATTGCAAAATATCTAAAGCATTTCCTTGACATCTAACTAAAGAAGCAGAAAAATATTCATCTATTTCAGAAGCCTCCGATAATGACGATCCAAGTCCAGATCCACCAGTTAGCTCAGCTACCATTGCATACCTATCAAAACTTACACTTTTACCTCGGGCTCGGGATGAGCTCGAAGAAACCGAAGCTGTAGACTGTTGTGCAGCTACACCATGTCTAACTGCATACTCATCATATAAGGTTTAAAAATAATTTCTAATAAGTAAATGATGAGTAGTAGCATTCAGGGTGGTTCCATCATCTAAGTCTATAACCTGTCCACCATACAATGACTGTAACAAACTTCGAAGGCCAATATCCTTCAAGCATGGATCAATAAGAACCCCCAAACCAAAAATATGAGGAATAGGCCTAAAGTACTTGTTAAATTTGCTCTCCATTTCAAAAATCATAGGTCCAAAAGTAGCATCCATACGATATTTATCAAACATTTTTTGAATATTTAACATTTGTAAAGCAGCTAAAGTAATGGTTGGATAATAACAGCCAGATAATAACATTGTAGCATCATAAAAAACTTGTAACATTTCATTTAAATTACATATAACTGTCCATTCATCTTCAGTTATTCCATAAGTGCTACCAGAACTAGAACTAGAAGCATAATAGTTTATAAAATCAGTTATAATGTCTTTATATTCTATTGCTACACTTAACATTGCATATGTGGAATTCCACCTATGATCAACATCTTTTGGAATTAGTCTAGGCTTTACATTTTTTTCTTTTACAAAATTGTTTCCATTTTTTAAGTCTTTGTTCAGAAGCACTATGCATGCAAGCAACTGTTCTAACCTTTTCTATCATGGGTTTAATTTCAGTAAATGCACTTTGAACAATTAAATTTAAAAGATGACAGATGCACCTAATATGAAAAAGATCACCATGACATGACAATGATAAAGATGATCTGATAAAATCAACAGCTACATTGTTATTACTTGCATTATCTAGTGAAAGAGAAAATATTCTTTCTGAAATTTCTAATTTCATAAGTTCTTCAATTATTAAATTTGCAACATTAGCACCAGTATGTGACTCTTTTATTGCAATAAAAGAAACAATTCTTTTAAACATTTGCCAATTTTCATCAATCCAGTGTGCTGATAATCATATTTTATTATAATTTTATACCCTCATTATCTATTTTACATGAATAAATATACTACTAATAATTGGTTTTATCTTTAATTGCAGGTTAATGAAGAATAAATCTCAAAACCCTCATCTCGCCGGACTTAAATGAAGTGACCGGATTTGTGTGGGCCAAACTTGTATTGGGCTGCAGAAAATTGTATTGGATTTTGATTTTCTTTTGAAAATCAAATAAATCAAAGGTGGAGATTGTTGCTTGGGGCTCAAGACAAATCCAATGGCTCATATTCATTGAAGATTACTATAAATAGGGGTAGAGAGTGAGGGGTTAGAGGTGTGAAAATTTTTGTAACTCCTTTTGGAGAGGAGGGCTACTCTTAATTGAGAAGGCCTTCCAAAATTATAACTTTAGTTGCAATTAATAATAATAATTTTTTCACCACTTTAAATTTTTCTTTTCTTCTCTTTATTGGATGATGAAGATGAAGATGAAGATGGAGAATTATTTGAAGGTTTGCATTTCTTTCTTTTTCTCTTTTATTGCTTATTAGTTTAGATTTATTTCTATGCTTGTAGTTAGATTTTATTTTCTTGTTCAATAGCCAAGAGGCTAGAACCCTCTTGCCTTAGATTTATTTTATACTTATAGAGTAGATTTATTTTCTTATATTTAATTCTTGCAATTTTATTTTGTAGTTTAGATTTTACAATTTATTTTGTAGTTAGATTTTAATTTCTTATACTATTCACCTTGAGGCTAGAACCCTCTTGGGTTTAGTTTTTCTTTTTATTTATTTTTATTTTGTTTGATTCGCCTCTAGGCTAGAACCCTCTAGGGAATCACCCTTTTCTAAGAAGTGGGTTCAATTTTAGATTATCCATATCTATAATTGAATCCACCATCTTTAATTTCTTGTATTTTCTTTTATTCTAGAATTTTGTTCTTCATTCTTGATTTTTTATTTGTTTCTTGATTTTATTCGTTTTTTTCCTTCTTGCCTTATTGATCACACTCATTCTTTGTCACATCCACTCTCACTTAAATTTTGCGTCGTTTCACACACTATCACTTTCACTCTCATTATCTCTCCACAATCACATTTACCCATCACTCCTATTTGTCACGCACACAATATAAGAACCGATTTTATATTTTCTCCTACAAAACACCTTCCTCGTGGGATCGATATCTTAAATACTATAACTTGACATGGTTGTGCACTTGCAACCTTTTTGGTACATGTTTATGTCTCATCATGTGCTGTGATACATAAATATCCAGTTTGTGCTCTAGATGTCCAAATATCAGAAGTTAAAGAAAATTTACAGTTTAAAATTTTAAAATAAGAAATTATTTTTTCTTGTTCCTCCTGATAACATTTTAAAATATCACATTGACAGGTTTTAAAATATCACGTTGACAGGTTTGACGAGAAAATTTTTTAAATGCAGGATAAAAACCATCTCTAAACATATCTTCAAATTCATCATCTTCTACTAATTTAAAAGGAAGGTTTTTAAGAATGATAAACCTGATTACGCATTTCCTGGCTTTGGTAGCGTCATAGTTCCAACTACCGAGACTACCAGAAGAGGAAGATTGAGAAATCATGGATTGTCGGATATCACCTTGAGGAGTCTGGCCTTTGTTGTGTTTATCTAAATGGCGTTTGAGGTGGTTGGTGCCGCTCTTATGATGAGCTTGAAAAATCTTGCCGCACAACGCACACTTAGCCTTCTGGGTGAGGATCCTACCGTGTTCATCCTTGGTGACGTCGATCTTCTCGTAAAAATTCCACACATCGGATCTTGGCCGTTTAGGAGCTCTTGGTGCAGATTCGTCGCCACCGGATTCGGGATTAACTTCGGTAGGAGGACTGATAGTAGGAGGACTCATAGTAGGAGGACTCATTTCAGGATCAGGAGATATGTTTTGCTCTTCATAATCAGATCCGGAAGCCATTTGATGAAAATATTAGAAAGTATAAATAAGAGAGTATAAGAGTATAAGAGAGAAGAGATGAGTTTTTAGTGTGAAGAAAACAAATAAAACCCCCCTCTATTTATAGAACCAGTTCCCTAGGCAAATGATCAAAATAACCTCACAAAATAGCCGTTTTTTGACCGTTTTTGGGGGCAAAACGGTCAAATGGTCAAATCTGACCGTTGTGGCCGGGCCGGGCCGGGCCGGCCCGACTCGCCACAACGGTCACCATTGGTGACCGTTGTGACCGGGCCGGGCCGGGCCGGATTTTTCAGGCAACGGTCACCACTGGTGACCGTTGCCCCCGGGCCGGGCTGCGGGCCCGGGCTGCCCGGCCCGGGCTCCGGGCCCCGGAACCCGCGCGCTGTTCCCGGATTTCCGGGCCGGGCCTGGGCCGTGCTCCGGGCCGGGCCCGGGCCAGCGGTAAAATGGACAGCTCTACAGTAAGTCAGCTCTCGCTGATAAAGACAGGATAGGGGCATTATCGTCGTTTAAGTGGATAGTCGGATTCGCCGTAGGGCCCCTCGTCGAGAATAATCTCGAACCCCCGAGCGAGTTCGGTCCACAGCTTCGCCGGAGCAGCAAGTTAAGCATTTCTTGTGCCCGGCCCTTTTGAACTTAAACACCTTTCGCACTTCGCAGATTCTACGAGGCCCAAAATAAGTTTTAGAACAGGTTAACAAAAACGATCAGAGGGATATTTTCACTTTGTTAAGGCCTACTTGGCTTTTCATCGTCCTTATAAAAAGGATATTCCAATTTCCAACAAATACATAGAACTTCATCTTTTGCAACTATACTCTGTTAGTACCTCCGTCTCAATTCTCAAATGTCTTTTTTTTGAAAATATCCAAGCCCAAATATCCTTAAAAAAACAACATCCGCCTAGGATTGATTCTTTGTGAATTTCTTTTATTCGTATATCCTTCTCTTAACAGAGAGATTGAATTTACTCGTCTTGGAGCAATTATTATTAATTAGTTAAGAATGCCTAACATTTAATAAATTCATCAATTATGATATATTACACTAATGAATATAACCCTCAGAAATATCCTAGATACTGAACTATCGGTTGAGACATTAAAAAAGACTATTAAAATATTTGAAATGAGAATTCTAAACAAAATAGTTTGAGCAATTTTCAATACATAACATGTAAAAAATATATGAATAAAATACTTCTTATAAAGGACATGATTTTACTTAGTTAGAAACTCAACTCACCAACAATCAATATTTAGAAAAACTAAATATCCCTAATATTTGAGAAATTTTCTGATCCCATTGAATTTAGAAGTAGCTTAAGA